CGGCATATCAGCCAGGACCCAAAGTGGAGAAGCGGCGGTGCCGCCAAGACCTGCGTGAGGCCTGTCCCAGGTGGCCGGAGCTGCGAGGGTCAACGCGTTTGCGTAGCAACAAGTCATTCTGGCTGGAGCACAGCCCTGGAAGGGCAAAGGGCGTCGTGAAAGGGTTTTCGTTATGGGAGGGATAGGATGTGCGTGTGGGATTATAGAAAATTCCCCGGGGGTCGTATGATGCCTCCTGGCATTTTCTCTTCCCGGTTTGTCTTCCCCCAGTTCTTTCTCCCAGCTGGCTGTGACGATATTGCATTTAATGGTAAATCACAGCTAGGGTTATTCGGGGAGTGTTGTCTGCCTTGTGTGCTGCAGGGTTGTTAGCTTGGAGACCCGGCTCGGGGGTGGGGATCTGTAGATACTGCAGAACGGGAGCGTCTGCTCCAGTGTTTCAAATCCTAGCTCCCTCCGGGAAGTTTGGCTGACAGTTCTGGCTTACACGGGTCTCCCACCTTTCCTGAGCGTCTGGAGCCCTCGGCTACCAGTTAACCCAGACCCACAGCTTCTCTCTGCTGCGGTTCTGAAGTCTAAAATGCTCTGCAGGCACAAAGATTTTCCGTAAACTCGGAGCAGTCACGTGGCCAGAATACCTGGCCTGTCTTGGCCTAAGAGACTTTTTTTTTTTCTCCCACGTAGCAGATGTCAGTGGTCCTCAGCCGGGGAGATCGTGCCTCCCCAGCAGACACTGGGGCAATGTCTGCGGACATCTGTGGTTGTCATGACTCGGGGTGCTCCTGGCATCGAGTGGATGGGCACCAGGGGTGCTGTTCAACACGGTACAGTGCCCAGGGTGGCCCCCACCCCAGAGCGTGACCCAGACACAGGTGTTGATAATACTGTTAAAAGCCCTGTCCTAGGGATGCCAAACACAGCACCCTGCGAAGATCCGTCCCCCTTTGTCCAGGACCACTGTGGCCCTGCTCCCCTCCCCGCCATGCTGGAAGGGAAAAATGGGGCACAGGTGGGTGTTTCCTGGAGCGGCTTCTGCGTATTCTGCTGGGGGCTCACACAGGACAGGCCTCTGTTCATTAACTCGACAAGAAATTGGGGGAAGGTGTAGCCATCTGAGCCCTACAGGTGCTACAGGGATGCCAGCAGGACATTCAAGAAAGGAAGATTGGCAGGGTCGGGGCTCCGGGCAGAGGGGGCAACCTGTGGGAAGGCCTGGGAGATACCTTGAAGAAAGCCAGTGTGCCTGAGCGCAGGGAAGTTGGCAAAACCAACTGGCCAAACCTGCTGTGCAGGACCCAGTGGAGTCGGGATGATCTAGACCAAGGGTCAGCAGACCAGCCTGTAAAGGGCTTATTAGTTCAGTCTTGGCAAGTCACATAATCTCCTTCTTCGTCACCTTTACCTTATGGGCTGTGCAGAGACAGACTTTGCCAGCCTCTGATACAGACTCCAGTAAAGGTTGGACTGGAATCCTGAGTGTAAGTGGAGCCCTGGGAAGGGAAAGGGGCAGCCCCACCTGCAAATGAGATGCTGAGAAAGGTGGGGTGCACACAGTATGCTAGTTCGCAGCGTTGGAGCTGAAGTCCGACTGCACGGGCTTGAGCCCCCGCCTCTGCTGCTTGCTGGTGTGGGATCGTGGCACGAGACTTGCATTCTCCAAATCTCAGGACCCCCGTCTGCAAAATGGGGGCCACATAGGTCCCAGAGTACAGAGCTGTGAATTCAGTGAGGGGACGAAAGCAAAACATCTTTACCCTGAACACCACACAGCAGTTCCCGTGACAGCAGTTCTAGACCATTAATCTCTTATCCAAAAATTCTCGTGGTAGGGATGTTCAGGACTCGGGAATTCCCCTATTTTAGGTAAGTAATATGGTGCAAACGTCACAGTACGACAAGGGACGTCGGAGGTAGTAATCAAACAAATTAACCCCGTGGAGTGCAGGTGTATGCCAAGCATCCGCCCCAGCCGGCCGATGTCGGGGCTGGGTCATCATGGGGCATCCTAGGTGCTTGGGGGTGTTGAGCAGCATCCCCAGACCCCGCCGCCCAATGAAGTAGCATCACTCTCCCGTCGTGACAAGTGCAGGCATCCCCACAGGTCACCCGGTGTCTCCCGGGTGCGGAATCTTCGTGTGCTTTAGAGGATCCGTCAACCTGTGTACCCCCATAGAGCCCCCGGTCCTTGTCAACCTGCATGGGGAAACGGTGCTCCTGGCCTTGCCCTCCAGCCCTTACTTACTCTAACCCTAATTCTGCCCTTGAAGCAGACACATTCAGTGTGGGGTTCTGTCTTCTCTGTCTAGCCTGTGCCGGAGATGCCCTGGACACAGCGGCCCTGTGCTCCGAGGTGAACTACCTGCGGTGGGACCTGAGCGCCCAGCAAATAGGGGAGCTCACTGTGGAGCTCATCGAGCAAACCAAGCGTGTGTATGACCAGGTGGGCTCCCAGAAGTTTGAAGACGTGTCCTACGAGAGCACCCTCAAGGCGCTGGCTGACGCGGAGGTGTCCTACACAGGTAAATCCAGGTCAGGACGCAGGCGGGGAGGCGGAAGCGCCCAGCCTCGGGGGAGGCGGCCTACTCCCCAGGGGCCGTAAAGGATCCCTCGGCCAGGCCAGGGGCAGCCTGGAGGGCTGGTTCTCCTACACACCCTACTGCACTCGTGGCCTGGCATACTTAGTTCTGGGCTGTGTCATCTGAGGGCTCAGAGCGGGACAGCACGTGTGACCGCTCTTCTCTCCAGGAGTCAGCTCGGGTGCCAGCCCCGAAACCAGAGCCCCTTCTTACCCCTTTCGTGTCACAGGAGAGCTGTGTTTTCTCTCTGGGCGACTGAACTGGGACCCCTTTGCCTCTCTTCTCCCCGCTGCCTCCCCCCTGTGCTTTGGGTAACCTGATGCCGTCAGGGGCCCTCATCACCACCCACCTGGATCCTCGTCTTCCCCTTGGGGTCTGTTTGCTCCCTTTGTGAGGGAAGGATGAGGTGCTCGGTCACATACCTACAGCCCTGCTTCCCAGAGCCCCTGTGTGGAGGTTGATGGCAAGGGGACAGAAGACCAAGCAAGTCTTGGGACGGAGAACTCCGAGCCCCCGGATCTCTAGCACAAGTCCTTTTCCGGGGGGCCTTTGGGAATCCTGGCAGCGGGGTTCTCCAGGAGCCTCCTGTGCGGGGTGTGCCGGATGGCAGGGGCTGCTCCGCCGCCTTCAGGCGGGTGTGCCTCAGGCTCCCCTTCCCATCTCCTTCCAGAGAGGCTCGCGGGCATTGCCTGATGCTAATTCCTGCTTCTTGGACGTGGCCCTGCCAGACGACCTTTAGTCTCTCCCCCACTTCACTCCCGCGGGCTTTTATTTCTGTCTCCTCTCAGTAGCCCACGGAATTTTAGAGGAGACTAAGACTGGATCATGGCCTTCCCCCCAGCCAGCCCCTCTGTCTTTCCACTGCCCTCTGGACGGAGGCCAGGGTCCTCGGTGGTGTTCCCTGTGCTGCACGGTTCCCCCTTTCTGACCCGCCTCTGCACTTTGTGCCTGGCCACGTGGCCTCGCAGTTGCTCACGCTGTCCCGTCTCGGGGCTTCCCACACCCCCCGCTTTGCAGGATGTTGGGCTTCTCTGTGATCACAGATTAACCCCCCGCAGGAGCCCCTTCCTGCACCCCCTCTGCTCACACAGCTGCCTGCATTGATCTGACAGCATGCACTGTTTTGTTGTCGTGCTTGGTGCGATCACAGGCGCTTGTGAGCCTGTAAATCCCAGACGGACGGACGCTGTTTCTGTCTTTTCACTGTCCCCTCTCGGGCAGCCAGCGGTAGGCCTGCCCTGGGGCCCCGGGCATGACCAAGCTGCGATTTGAATGCAGCTCTTTCCCAGAGTATGTGCTTTTTAAAACGTAAATGCTCTGTTGAGATCTGATTTATAGACCTTAACGATTTGCTCACTTGAAGCCTACGTTTCAGTGGTTTTTATAGTCACTTGTCTAAGCATCACCGTGTTCTAATTCTAGAACATTCTGCCATCCCAAAGGGAAATCCTGTCCCCATTGGCAGTCACTCCCCATCCCTTCCTCAGCTCTTGGCACCCACCAGCCCCCTTCCCATCTGTGGATGAGCCTGTTCTGGATATCATACACACCTTGACTCACACACCTCATGTCTGGTTTGCTCTGAGCAGTGTGTGTTCAGGGTCCGACGACGGGGCAGCAGGTGTGGGCGCCTCGCTCCTGTTTGCGGCCAAGTGACTTCCTGTGCGTGCCAGACACGTGTGTCTCCGTGCACTTTTGATGGGTGTTTGGGCTGTTTCTACTATTTGGTCATTACTGGGCCTGCTGCTGTGCATGTATGTGATTTCTGTGTGATCACGTGTTCTCATTTCACGAGGGTGGGTGCTTGAGAGTGGGGTGCTGGGTCAGGTGATACTTGTTAAAGCTGATGCTCTTATGGGGCACCGGTGGCTCTGTTGCTTAAGCATCCGACTCTGGATTTTAGCTTAGGTCATGATCTTGAGGTTGGTGAGGCCAAGCCCCCTGTTGGGCTCTGTGCTGAGCACAGCCTGCTTGGGATTCTCTCTCCCTCTCTCTCTGCCCCTCCCCTGCTTACATGCACCCTCTCTTTTTCTCAAAATAAATAAGCTTAAAAAGAATTAGGAAAGAAAATTAAAGCTTATGTTGTTATGGCTACTCATGCTTCCTTTATTTATTTACTTATTTACTTACTTACTTAAATGTTTATTTTTGAGAGACAGCGTGAGCCAGTGAGGAGCAGAGAGAGAGACACACACAGAATCTGAAGTAGGCTCCAGGCTCTGAGCTGTCAGCACAGAGCCCAAAGCGAGGCTCAAACTCATGAACCGTGAGATCATGACCTGAGCCAAAGTCGGATGCTTAACTAACTGGGCCCCCCAGGCCCCCCTCCTCCCCCCGCCATGTTCCCTTTATTTAACAGAGTGTCAGCATGCTCTGTAAATTAGAAAATTGTTCATGAACGTAAAGTACTGCTCTCAGCAGCCATGGCTCTTTCCTGGGCCGGAGCCACTGGAGCCTGTCCCCATCTTGTCAGACTCCTCTGTTAACGGTCCTTCATGGACCTTGGAGTATTGTGAGTTGAGTCTGTTCCCGTTGGCCTGTGAGGTCCCCAAGAACATGGGCATGGGTGCCAGTGTTCCTTTCTTCCAGTGCCCACCCCAGGGCCCGGCGTGGAGAGTGTTCATGGAACATGGAGACGTGCGGGTGGGCTACGTGCCGGGCCAGGGTGAGGTCGATACTTGCCAGTTTCTACCCGGGGCCCGTTTTCACACCTGTCCTGTTTCCCTGTTTCAGTTCAGAGGAATATCCTTGACTTCCCCCAGCACGTCTCTCCATCCAAGGACATTCGGACGGCCAGCACAGAGGCAGACAAAAAGCTGTCTGAATTTGACGTGGAAATGAGCATGAGGCAGGATGTATACCAGAGGATTGTCTGGCTGCAGGTGAGGGGACAGCGACAAGCCCAGCGTCCGCTCAGCCCCGGGACGCGGCTGATGGGGCACGCACTAGGCCCGCTGGAGGTGGAAGACGGGGGGCGGGAGGTGGGGGGACAGACCGGTGTCCAGGTGGCACTGGAGGGTCAGAACCTCTCTAGATGTGATCGTTCTGTTCCTCAGACTTGAGAAGGTAGAGAGTGAGGAGCCCTGTGGGTGGCTGGTGGGCATCGCTGTGTGACAGTGTGAGTGCACTTAACGCCGCTGAACCATGCGCTTAACAGTGGCTAAGGTGGTAAGTTTTACGTTGTATTTTACCACAATAAAAAACATGAAAAAAATGGCAGAAGTGGGCAGGAATGCAAAAATAAAATATAAGATGCCTAAAAAAACTTTTTTTTTTTTTTTTTTTTTTAACGTTTATTTATTTTGAGAGACCAAGCGTGTGCTCACGAGTTGGGGAGGGGCAGAAAGAGACAGAGAGAGACAGAGAATTCCAAGCAGGCTCATTGTGGTCAGCACAGAGCCCAACGTGGGGCTCAGACTCACGAGCCGTGAGATCATAAGCTGAGCCGAAACCAAGAGTCAGACGCTTAACTGACCGCACTCACGTGCTCTGTGCCTAGGACTTTCTAAGCCTTCCCTCCGTCCAGCACATCTTTTTACTTTCCTGACCTTGTTGGGTGCCCTCTAGAGCTATCGTCCTGCCTCCTGGGCCACGGCTGCTGATGTCGGAAGTGAACCGAGATGATTCTCTGCTCGTTGTCTTAGCACCTGCTGCCGTGTCCCCTCGATGGCAGGAAGGCACACGAGTGTGCTTTGGTGCACGGACAGGCGGGTGGCCTGTGGAAGCACAAGCGGTGTCTTGTATTTAATTCTCGTTTTAAGATCTTTGCGGGTCAGCGTGCAGCGGGAAGAAATAGCTTGGAGAGCGCCTGTCTGTACTTTGCCCGGTTTCCCCCGCGTAACGTATTGCAGAACCGGTCAGTGTCACCACCGGGTTAAAGACCTTGATGCAGCCCCCCAGACTCATTCCCACGTAACTGTTCACCAGGGGAAGACCCTCTGGGCTGCTCTTCGTTTGGGCTGTTCCCCGTAGGTGTTTGTGAACAGGTGTTGTGTGACCCCAGTCTTCATTCTCTGGGACAAACGCCCGGAGTGCAGCTGCGGAGTCGGGTGGTAGTCGCACGTTTTGTGCCAAACTGCTCTCCTGGGCGGCTGCCCCATTTCATGCTCCCTCCGGTGATGTTGGAGTGAGCGACCCAGTTTCCCTGCTGCCTCACCAACATTCAGCAGCATC